ATTCAGAATACCCTCCTCAGTGCATGGACACACACCCTTGACATCCAAATGCAGAACTTTCTATGTCTTTCTCTATAGCCACCAGGTTCTTTCTAGACACACACTCTCTGGGGCCCGGCCAATGGTGTGGGCCTGGGCCAGGGGCCAGTGGGAGAAGGAACCTGGGTGCTGGAGGCTTACTGGCTGGAGCCAAATTTCTTCTGAGCCTTGGAGGCCCTGCAGGAAGCCAGCCTTCAGTCCCTCTCAGCCCTGGGCAGAGAAGGCAAAGCCACAGAAGGAGCAAGGGCTGGCTTGCCTGCCAGCCGGAAGGCCAGGGACTGTTTGAGCCCAAGAATGACCACTGACATGGATTAAGGCAGGAACTGGAGCCTGTAGAATCAGACTAGGAGGCGTCTCAAACACTCGTGGCCTCAGATGAAGTTATTTTCAAGTCCTCATCTTGAGGCAAATTGCCAGAGGCTGGAGCATAAGGAGTAGAATATACTGATGAACTGAGCTCTGACACAGGCTGAGATTTCAAAGAAAATCAGAGCTGAAAAAACCTCAAGGATATCAAGACTGAATCTTTCAATATGTAAATGAAGCAAAAAAGGTCCTGATTCAGTAAAGGCTTCATTCTTATCACTTAGAGCAAGCATCCAGGACCAGAACCTGGGTCTCTGACTCTCAGCTAAGCCTTTCCCCGGCCATGCTAGGCCTCGATGTCCCCTCAGTTATTCTGAAAGTCCTGGGTCTTATCCATCTGACCTGCCGCCTCTCCACTGGCCTACGACCCTGCCACACCCACAGCAGGACTCCTTGGGTCTAACATCCCAATAAGTCAGCTAGGATGGGGGTAGGGGGAGGGGCCAGGATCAGGCCCCAGCTCTCCCAGGCGGCTGGCAGTCAGCTAGCAGGGGTCTTGTCCAGGAGACAGAGGCCCAAGGCGTCATGGAGCTGAGATGCAAACCCACAGAGAGAAACTGATGGGCCCTGGGTATTTGATGTTTGGGCCAGAGGCTGAGGCCTGGCAGGGCAGTGTGTCTACTGGAGGCTGGATAAGGCTCTGTGCCACCCTAGCAGCTCTGGCTAGGCAGTGGGGTTGACCGAGGGCAGGGGTTAGAGTGCAAGCCCAGGCTCTGGGCCCAAGAGACTGGGATTCCCTGGCTTGGCCATCTTGGCTCTGGGGCCTCCTTTGCATCCTGTCCTGGGGTAGTAGGGGGTATGCCCAGGGCATGAGGGTGGGGTGGGAGCCAGGCGTCAGGGAGCCTGCTCCTTTGAGCAGGCCAGACGGCGGGGAGATCGGGTTTCAGCCCAGCTGTATTTTTGGCTGAATGGGCTGGGGGGCTGAGCTGGGCAGGCACAGCCTTCCCTTAGAGGGGCACACCCCCTCTCCGGCACACACTCACACTACCTCCACCAGGATAGACCACCATCCACCGCCCACCCTCACACACAGTGCAGGCCGAGGGGAGTCAGGCATCAGGCCTGTTGCTAGTGAATCACTTTGGGCTTCTCTAGACTGTTGCTGAGTTTCTGTAGTGTCTTCTTGATACGCAGTGCTGTGAGACGGGCGGACGGGTTGGGGTACCAGCACTCCCGCATCATCTGAGCCAGACCTGAGAGGACCTGGGGGGAGGAAGAGAGGCAGAAGAGAGGAAACAGATATGGGTCAGGGCCGACGGAAAGGAGGAGGAGAGAAGGATGGCCTAGTAATGGGGAGACACAAGAAGGACAGAAAGGAGGAGAAGATGGAGATGAGAGTGTGGAGAAGGAAGGGGAGAGGAAAGACAAGTGGTAAGAGGGGAAATGGAGAGACTCAGGCAAGGATGAGAAGAGTAAGATAAAAAATGGAAGAGGAAGAGAGTAGACTGAGAAGGGGTATGGAGAAAGGCAGGCAGGACAGAAAGAGAGATGTAACCCAGACCTTCAGGAGCACTTGGGGCCCCCTTGGTGAATAGTGTCTGTGTAACACCTTACCCCTATCCCCCACATCCAGAAGATCCAAGAAAGGGGAGATATACAAGCCTTGGGGCTCCCACATCCCCATTAGCAGCCAGACCTCAGTGCAGAGGGCAGTGTCTCCCGGGCCTCCACCAACCCTGGCAGGGCTCAGTGGACCCTGGAAGAACGGTGGTGAGCACTGCCCTAAAAATGCACATGTCCAGGGAGGAACCCATACCAGGAAGCTCAGTGGTCTCAGAATGAGCTGGTTCTTGAGCTGGTTCTTGAGCAGGAGTGGGTATGTGTGTGTGCAGAGGAATGCATGTGTGGCTTTTTGCGGACATGTATGTTGTGCAGAAATGTACATGTGTACAATTATTCATGCTTTTAATAAACATTTTTGAGTACTTATTGTGTGCCAGGCACTGTGATGGGTAATGGGGATGTAAGAGGTAGCAAAGGAGACAAGCTCTTTCTCTTCACAGGGCCAGCAGTCTAGCATATACATGCACGTACATGTATCTGAGTGTATATTTAAGCAGAAGCCTGTGCGTGCCTGTATGTGTTTATGTACATGTGTGTATGTGTCTTATAAAAGTATGTGGAGTGTTTTGAGAAAAGAAAAAAACCAAGCAAGAACAAAAACTTCTAGCAAGAAATGCAGCAGAGAGCCTCTGATTTTTCTGGCAAAATGCAGGATTCTGAAAATCCCAAAATAACCAGAGGGTCCCTGGGAGTCCACAGGCCAGGGATGTGGAAGGGGTAACCAGGAAGTTACCCTGGAATCTATCCCCGAGAATCTAACCAGGTGAAGCAGAGGCCTCAGATATAATTTCCTGAGCCCAGAAATCCCAGCTGTGAGCCACCACCCCAAGCCATCCCAGGCCCCTGGGAGGCCTCACCGGGTCTGCAGCCAGCCGGTTCGGGATGGTGGGGGTCTGCTGGTCAACACACACCACTTTCTTCATGTCCTCAAAGCTGGGATCATTGGGCACCACATCATAGAAGGGTGGCCTGTAGTCCTCCACTATACCTGGGGATAGAGGGGGGATGGGACAGTCACTCAGGACCCCCAGAAGGCCCAATACCACCCAGAGGAGAGCCTTGCCCACCTTCCATCCCAGGGGTCAGGAAACCAGTTGCCTGACCATGCTACACCTGAGAGGAACACTATAATATTATAAATATATTTATAAGTAATAATTACTATTGCCATTTATTTTGCACTTTCCACGTATCAGGCATTATGCTACAAATGGCTTTACATGCATTATACTGATAGTCTTCACAATAACCTTATGAGGTGGGTACTGTTATTACCAGCATTTTACAAATGAAGAAACTGATGCTTGGAGAAGTTGAGCCCAAGGTTATACAGCTAGTAATGGCAGAGTCAAGACTTAAACTCATCTCATTGGATTCCTAGGCCAGATCTTGTTCCAGTCTTCCACAGCTGCTTCCTACCCAAGGCCTGGGTACTGCTCCCAGGTCACAACGATCACAGATGCCCAATAATACCTAAAGTTTACTAAGCACCTACTATGTGCCAGGCACTATCCTAACTGCATTGCATTAAATCCTCGTACTAACCCTATGAGGTAAGTAATACCATGAGGTCCACTCAATAAGCAATGAAATTAAGACCAGAGAGGTTAAGAAGCTTGTCTAAAATCACACAGGTAGTAAGTGACAGAGCTAGGATTTAAGCCCAGAAAGTCTAACCAAAGCCCATGCTTTTGATCTCCAAACTATGCTTAAAGAAGGGTAGCTGGTTGACTGCTGGGTGAAGATATGGAACAAGAAGAAAGGGGAGCAAACGCTTCTCTTAAAAGAAAGTGATTTCTACCACAGTCCGAATAACATCACCACTCTCAGGGATGGCACAGGCCTCTGCTGACCCCCTCAGCCAGCAGCACCCCCTCTCCTTGTTATACCAAGTACACAGTCCTTAGCAAGAGCTTTCTGAAAATGATAGCTGTGTAGCTGCAGACAGCTCAGGCAGAAGAGGCCAGACTTGGAAAAAGCACCCCACGCCCCACCCTGCTTCCTAGGCTAAGGCTGGGGGCCAGGGCCACACAGTTGCAACCTCGGGAGAGCCTGCGCCAGCTGTTCTCCCCATGGCGGGCTTCCAGACCAGCCCCTGTGCCGCTCGCGCCCTAATCAGTGCTGCACAGAGGCCTGAGCGTGTCTAATGGGCCTTTAATCAGTGCCGGGGCTGACACCAGATTACAGTGTTTATAATGCGCCATGAATCTGTGTGGGGCTGACAGAGCTTCCCTCCGCCCCAGGAGCCTGCAGTCAGCCTCCTCCTCAGCCCTCGCTGGTCCTGCCTTCCTTTCCTGCTTGCCTGCCTGCGGCCTGGCCCAAGGGGCCTCAGCTCCTTCCAGGTGTTCCCTTCCCCGACCCCAGCCTCTAGAGCTGACTCTGAAAATTCACACCTCAAGAGGCAGGAGGAATCTTAGTCCCAGAGTCTCCCAGAGCATCTGGTTACACCATGGCCTACACTTGTCGATGACTACCGAGAGCGAGTGAAGCCTGGCATGGGGGACTGGCTTCTTGTAGATACTCAGGAAATGAGAATGTCCCTCTTCCCAAGGAACAGAGCTCCAGCCATATCCTGAGGGTTGTCCCCAGCCTATTAGGACTCCTGGGAGCCCCTCCCCATGGACAGCCTCCACAAAGACTGACAAGCCTTCCTACCCAGTCCAGGCTACCACCCATCATCCATCCACCCCAGGGCTGGAAGGACACTGGCCACAGGGCTGCCCACTACATGGGCCAGCAAGGTTGGGGTCCCTCTGCCTGCTCTCAGCCCCTCCAAATCTGAGTCCCCTGTGGCACCCACAGTAATAATGAGGCAGCAATAAGAAAATAATGCCGGCACATTATATCTTGCCGGCCACTTTTTCTTTGACCACTTTTGTGGTCAAGGCAACCAAGGACCAGAAAGGTTTAAGTAGTACAGTGTTAAAGAGCACTGGCCCCAGAGTCAGATTGCCTGGTTTGGGACCTTGGTGCTGCCTCTAGCTAGCTGTAACTCTGGGCCTCAGTCCCCTCGTCTGTAAAATGGGGGTGAGGCTGTGTCAGGCATTCATTATGACAGCAATAACTGCCACGAATATTTGCTGAGCTCCAGAACAGCTCCAGATGCTGTCCTAAATACTTTATTTGGATTATCTCAACAACTAGAAACTATTTTTTATTCTCAATATATAAATGAAGAAACTGAGGCACAGAGAAGTTAGGTAACCTGCCCACGATCAGTGGCGAAATCAGGAATTGAACGTAGGCTGTCTGACTGCCAGCCCACACTCTTCACCACTTAGCAATACCAGCTTCTTAACAACACAGGGCGATTAAATAAGACAATATATGTATTTCCCATTGCATCTGGCACATACTGAAGCTCAATAAACGTTAGCTGCTATTTCTGTTATTATCACTCACCCAAGATTTCACAGCCAGAATCAGACTCTCAGATACAGATGAACCTTAAAAGTTGGCTCAGCTGAACCAGCTGGTGGGTGGCAATGAAGGGAATACAGGCGGTCTGGCCACAAGCCCCTCAGGCCACAGGCACCAGCCATGGCAGGAAGCCCCCATCTCCTGCCTGTCTCTCCACGTGCCCCATTCCCCTCTCCTCACCCTGTGCACGGTGGCCCTCACCATTGACAACGGTCCGGCGGACGATCTCCCACAGCACCAGGCCAAAGGCCCAGATGTCAGTCCACTTGTAGGACTCGAAGCAGTCGGTACGGATCTGCTCATCCAGCACCTCCGGGGCCATGTACCGCTTGGTGCCCACTCGAGGGTTGTTGCCAATGTCCAGGTAATCACTACTCTGGGAGTGCATCACAGCCAGGCCTGTGGGTACCGGAGCCTGTCACTCCTGCGGCTTACCTGAGCCCACAGACAGGGTGACTTCCAGAGCCTGGGGTCCAGGGGTCAAGGTGGGGATGGAGGTGTGACACAGAGGGGCAGGCAAATGGAGACCTGCCCTGAGGTGGGCTGGGAGAACTGTCCTAGCTTTGCTTCACGTGTGTAGTGCTCTCTAGGTCCCCAAGAACCCAGCGAGACGTTAGTAGGCAAGGCAGGCATTATTATGCCCATTTCGCAGAGCAGAAGCCCAAAGCCCAGTGGGGAGAGCGATGTATTAATAGTCAGTGAAGCCAGGATAAGAACCCAGGTTCCTGGCTCCCTGCCCCTTTCTCCCAGTTCTTGGAGCCTAGATGGTGTGGTGGAAGGAGTTTGGGCTTGAAAAGTGTGTTAGGCAACTTATGGGGCTCTTGTGGAGGTGAAACGAGACAGCAAACATCTCTGTAAGTTTTAAAGCACCAATCAATATTGTGGTTGTTGCCAGGCATGCAGAAACAGGCAAAGGCAGAACCAAGGAGACAGAGAAAGCGCCAGAACTTCAAACCCTGGCCCCCTGTAAAGGACCTGCCACTACCCCACCCCGCTCACCCAGATCTGCGATGCAACACTGCAGGTTGCTCTTCACCAGCACATTACGGCTCTTGAGGTCACGGTGGGCAATGGCCGGTTTGCCCTGCGTGCCGAAAATCTCCACGTGCAGGTGCGCCAGGCCACAGGCCGCAGACACAGCTAGCCTCAGGGCCAGTTGGGGCTCCAGCGGCTGCCTCTGCAGAAAGTCGTAGAGCGAGCCATGTTCGTGGTAGTGTGTGATGAGCCACAGCTGTGTGCTCGAGTTGCGGGAAGTCATATCCGAGGCAATAAAGCCTGTGGGCAAAGGGCCAGGTGGCTCAGCAAAGGGGCTAGAGATGAGAAAGGCTGGACTAGTCAGGGTCAGGGCTGGGGCTGACGGCAGAGGATGGACTAGGTCAGGGCAAACCCAGGGCTGGGGTGGAGGCTGGTCTGGCTTAGGTCAGAATGGAAGCTGGATTCAGAAGTTGGGGCTGAGGGCCGGCTAGGAGTCCTTCAGGGCTAACTCAGTGCCCAGAGGCTGGGGACTCCAGCCCTGAGTATGAAAGCCCCAGGCCTGGCATAGAGTCCCTAGCTTACCTAGGATATTGTCGTGTCTGAGCAACACTGTATTATAGATCTCAGTCTCCCGGAACCAGGACTGTTCATCCCTCGAGGAGAAGATCTTGACGGCCACACTCTCACCATGCCACAAGCCTCGCCACACCTCGCCATAGCGGCCCTTTCCTGATCCAACGGCCAAGGGGTAGGAAAGGGTCACACAAGCCCCTGAGCACAGTAGCTCCCAGAAGAGACCCCATCTTGATGCTGCATTGACCCATCTGCAGAACTTCTGACACTTACGTTTAACTTAATCCAGCCCCAGACCCAGCTGGCAGGCCACCCCCATCTGCCTCTTGTTTCCCATCAGCTGCTGCGGTAGGATCTAGTCTTGACCCATCTCCAACCCACTCCCTGCCCAGCAGAATTCCCATTCTGACCCACACCTGGCCCTGCCTGTGACCCTGGAGGCCAAGAGCTCCCTTACGTCACCCCACCCCCAAGCTCATGGGAGCCCTTGAGCTCACCCACTACTTACCCACACACTCCACCAGGGCAACCTGCCGTGCCACTGTCCTCTGCACCAGGAAGGGGAGCCCCGAGCCACTGCCTGTGGTGCAGTCGCTGTCCAGAAGGTCCTGTGGGTACCGAGAGGCCACTGAGAGGCCGTCCCCACCCACCCCAGCCCCCTTCCCTTCCTCAGCCTGGGTCCTGCTACTGTGTCTCTGCAGGCTCCTCAGTCATCCAGCCCCCCACCCACTGAAATCGGAGTGTCTGGGATTGTGCCTTTGTCAGCTACTTGTCACTCTGCTACTTGTCACCTTCTGATTCGGTGGCTCTTATCTACCCCTCCCCCCACCCGGTGTCCCAAATTCCCCACGCCCGTACCCCCAACATGCTGTCCCCCTGCTCAGATGCCTTCAGGATGAGGCTGGACTCGCCCAGCTCGTTGTGCAGTCCCCGATGCTTCTCCTGCCTCCGCCGGACATGCCACAGGCCCAAGGCACCCAGAGCCACCAGGGCCAGCAAGGCCAGCACAGGGCCCAGGATCAGAGGTAGCTGGCCATCTGCTTGCGGCTGCTCCGGAGTTGGGGTGGCTGCCAGAGGGGGGACACTGAGGCCCAGCTTTCACCAGGCTAGATCCTCCCCCACCTGGCCACTCTGCCATCAGATCTCAGGGTCCTGCCTCCCCCACTCCCCCCTCCCGGCCAGAGCATGAGAGGAAAGCAGGGCAGGGGGGCAGGGTCTGAGAAGATGGGGAAGGGCTGCTGGGGCAGCTGGACATACTGTTCAGCACCAGGGACACGTTGTGGTTGCAGCGGAAGCTGTTGCAGCAGTAGTGGTTGACAAACTCAGTGGGGCGCCCCCTGCAAAGTTCCTGGTGACGGGTCCCGCAACCCCGATATTGCTCGGGGTGCTTGCCCTCCTCCCGCACCAGCACTACAGTGCACCAGGCCCCCTGGCAGGTAGGCCCCTTGCAATGTGGGCTCTCACAAGTGCAGGTCACCAGCGGGCCCCGAGAGGGCTTCACGGGGTCACCTGGGAGACACAGTGGAAGCTTACTCACTCTGGGCCCAACTCCCCAGGCTGAGCCCAACACCCACTGCCCTCTCCCTTCTGACCTCTCAGTCAAACCCCTTGAGGTCTTGGTCCCTTAGTTCCATCCTCAGATTATCCTGCCCTCCAGCACCTTACCTCCCAACAAGGGGCAGATGAGAGTATGAAAACCAGGCCTCTGTCTACTCCCTGATCCTAGGACCTCCCCTCCCAGTTCCAGGCCCAGCCCTGGTCCCCAGCCCCAACCCTGAGAGCTTTCCCAGGACCCCTCTGCCAACATTCCCCACTCTCTGTACCTCCCAGATGGAGGTTCCCACCCTGCAGTCTGGTAGAACACCATCCTGCAGGTTTGGATCAAGAGGACAGCAAAAGAGGGTGGAGGTAGCTAGTCTAATTGAGCTTGTGTTCTGCCCTCCAGCCAAGCTCCAAAGTCCCTTCTTCCCAAGTCCTCAAACTCAGAACCAACAAAAGCTGAGCCCAGAAAGCCCTTTTCTCCATTCAGGCCCCTGTTCCCTACCTGCTCCCCCGGTACTCACCATGGGTCAGGCCCAAGACCATTAGTAGCATTAGAAGGCCTCTCCTGTGGGGGTTCAAGGTCATGGTCCTGGAAAGAGAAGCAGGGGAGAGGGCGCAGTAAGATCTGTGAAGTGTGATCCCCTCCATGTTTTCAGCCACTGACCGTGGGTCCCTCCCACCCAGAGGAAATCACTGGGAGTGTTTTTTTTGGGGGGGGCAGAGAGGCCTCCTCCCTACTCCCTGTGTCTGGATTTGGGGTGGGGCCTGCAGGGGAAGTCCTGGTTCACTTCCCCATGGAAACTACCCTGTTGGGGCAAAGGCTGGGGAGCCATGTTTAAGTGAATGAGAGCTTGGGGCACACCCAGCTCTGCACCCCTCCTGCTGAGCTTTGACTGCAGGGTGCAGAGGGAATGGGGCTGGGGTGTAAGCATGTCTTCAGCAGCACCCCCTTCTGTCCTCTGCCTCTTGCCAACCCCTTCCCAGCCTCCATCCCAGTGTCCCCCCTTCCCCCCACCCCCCTGCCCTGGCTGCCTCAAACGTAAACAGGCTCCTGTCTTCATTTCCTGCCATTCAGGGTCCCACCAAGCTGGGAACAGGAATCAAGATTGTTTAGATTGGGGTCTGGATAGGATAGGCAGGAGTCACGCACAGCAGGAAGTTCAGGGAATATTCTCAGGCCAGGCTGGAGCAGCCATAGGATCTGGAGGAGCCACCCAGGGCTGGAATACCCCACGACAGAACCCTAAGGAAACGCCTTGTGAATCACAAAGCCCAGTTCATTATTTTAGAGAAGATGGGATTAATGTTCAGACAGGAGAGGAGACTTGTCCAAGGTCAGACAGGACCCAGTGGCAGTACCAGGAGTACAACCCAGGTGTCCAGTCTCCCAGTCCAGCGCTCTTTCCACCCTGTCTCCCCATCCAGAGTAACAGTCCATGTCTGAGCCCTGAAGCATGTAACAACCATGCAAAGCTTCGACAGTGTTGGCTCGAACTAGGTGAAAAGAACCTCTGCAACCTCACCAGAGTATAAGAAGTCCTCTCTGTGGTATTCCCTGGCCCCCTTCTCTTTCCTTGCTGTCCTGGGAAAAGGTGGGGGTAGGGCAGATGATGTGGGAAGAGAAGTGAAACACACGTAGACACTGAATGTTGGACCTTCCATGGCTGGTTGAATTTTTCCAGAAATTTTGTGGAGAGTGTTAAGGGGAGTAATTCTGATCTATGACAGTCCCCAAATCAGGTCCCAAACCAACTAGTGCTTCAGAAGCCACCCCCTTCATTTCTCAAAGGTTTAGAAGAAGAAGGGCTGAGGCTGCAGCAAGAAGGGCTGAAGTCAGACAGTAAGAAGGACTTTCTGAATGGAGGAGAATGTACAGGTGCGTGGTTGGGGCAGGTAACATGAGGGAGGGAGAATGTCTTCTGGCATCATATGGTGAGGCTGGTCGTGCTGGGCGTACGGCCACATCGGCTGCAGAAGGACCACAAACTAAGAATGATGCCAAATGAAGATGCATGATGGATCTGAGGTTCTGAGGGCAAGATGGCTGGGAGGTTGGGGGGGTGTAGTTTCGTATGCCTCTCTGGCTGGTGGCAGCTCTGGCCTTCCTGCCCGGGCTTCCTCTGCCCCAGAGGCCCAGGGTTGGGGAGGAAATGGAGCCCTGGGCTGCTGCAGCTGTGTCCCCAGCCTCTGCCTGACCTCCTGCCTCTTGCCGCTCCTGGCAGGCAGCGAGGCCTCCAGCAAGCACTCTGCAGTGGGACTGGGGATTGGAGAGGGAGCACCAGACAAGCTGAATTTGTCCACTGGGGTACAGGCAGGAAGCCATCCTTGGCAGCCTTTGCTTGCCCAGAAAGCTGCTAAGGAGAGGGTATGTGGCAGGAAGGAAACCGTGGAAAACAATGAAGATGAATCTGGCATCCTCCTAGGATCCTGTACCCATGCTCCATTTCTCTGACCATGCCCCAGTCTCCACCCTCTCACCTACTTTATTATACATCTGAATCACCAGAAGAGCTTCATGAAATATGCACATTCTTTGGTCTCACTCCCACTCCAGGTTCTGATTTGGTCCATTTGGGACCAGCCAGAAACATGCATTTTTTTTCAAAATTCTGATCAGTTAATTCTGATCAGTTAATACTCTAATGAGAAATGTGTCTTACACAACATTAAGATTGGTCCTCACGCTTTCGTTTCAGAAAGCCTGCTGTGTGAGTGGGAGTGGGGTGCAGAGGGCGAGACTCTTACTCCCACCCAGGAACCACTCCCCTCTACTGGAGGAGAAGGGACACACAAAGCTACACACGAAAGCCAGGGCCTTGGAGACACTGCGGAAGGAGGGTGGGGCAAGCGCTTTGCTCTTGGCATCCACCTCAAGCCTCCCAGGTCAGGACGGTGCAGGGAGGGCCTGGCAGCATTTGCAGAACCCACCTCTGGTCTAATACTGGAAATGTGGTGGAGTAAAATTGTGACTGTCCAACCTCTAACTGTCCCAGCGTAAGGTTATGTACAGGAGCATGCTGAGTCCTGGCCAATCCAAACTCAGATGTGACCCTGCATGATTCGCCCTGAAACCTGACTCTAGCACAAATGGACTCCTGGGGGCTCACAGTACCCTTTCATTTCTAAGCAAAACTTCGTAACAAATCTCCTGCTGACAGAAGTATCACTGTTGTTGGTCAGAAATCATGAATGCTAAATTAATATCAAACATTAACTTACTGTGAAATCCTTAGTAATAAGACTTAAAGTTCCCTGAGTATGACTCGTGTGTTTAAGTACTGAACTTTTAACTGTTGATCTCATTTAATCTCACAACAATCCAAAGGAAAACTGAGGCTCCCTGATGTTAAGTTTCTTGCCCATGTATCTTGATCAACTTAAGTTGCTGATCATAAACCTTCCCTCAGTCATTTTATTCCTCCAATTGTTTGATGTTTGGTGAGCCCCGCAAAGGAGGAAAAAGAGCAAGTGGGTTTTGTTGACATTAACAGATTGTCCGCTGCTGTTGTCATCAACAGGTGCCCAATGTGGGTTTGTTTAGATGGAGAGACAGAAATCATCTGTTAGCTGTAGGCTTAGTTACAGGTGGGAGAACAAGAGTGGAGGTGTGCTTGGAAGATGGTTGTCAATCTTTTCTCCCCATCCCACCTGAGGGATTGATAAAACCTGCTCCCATCAGCAGCAGTGGCTCAGTGCAGCAGTGACTGTCACAGGGCTGGAAGCGCCTTACTCTGCGCATCAGCGGGTATGACCCAAAGAGCAGAGAGCCAGACTGAGCTGTTCCTACCAAGTTGCCTCTTACCAGACACAAAGCACTTGCCTCGGTATCACTACATTAGCCCCACACGGCAGTGTGATGTAGCACCACGCCTCCATTTTAGGGTCTCAAACAGAATGCAGAGGCAGCAGAGTCTAGCAGAGGTCAGGATGTGGGTTCTGGATCATGCAGACCTGGGTTCAAATCTTGCCTCTGCCATTTAGAGCTATGAGATTTGGAGCAAGTTACTTAAACTTTCTGAGGTTTAGGCTTCCATGTGTAAAGTGAGAATAATAGTGCACATTTCATAGGTATAAAGTAGTAAAATTATTTAGTGGCCCATAGTATCACTATGTACTACTACGTGGTACATAGTAGGCACTTAGAGGTTAACAAAAACTCAACTGTCCATTTACACCATCCATGGATTCAGACAAGTGATTCAAGTCAGAATCTGCTTCCTCTTCTGTTAGGATGAGTAAAATAACCCTTCTTCTGTCAAGGATTACTGACACAACTGAGAAAAATATATGTCTATATAGTAAGTACTCAATAAATGGTAGCCATTTTTTAACCACACAATGAGATGGAAGAACATGTACTAGGACAAATGGAGTATTAAGGGATTATAGAGCACAGACCTGACTCAGCCAGAAGCGGCCCATAGAACGGGTGAGAGCTACTGTTCACTACGGTCCTAACCTTGGAGAAGAAAAGAGGGGGTGGCTGTGTAGATGCCTGACCAATGTGCTATATACCTGAAGAGCTGAAGTAGAATAATATTGAATGTCAAGATAATGAAATATATAGGTATATATAGTCGCAGGTGTAGAGTACAACATAGGGAAGATAGTCAATGGTATTGTAACAGCTATACAAGATGTCAGAGGGGTAGTAGCTTGGAGGGTGGTTTATCACTTTATGGGGGGTTTAAGTATCTTAACTATTACGTTGCTTTGTACACCTGAAACTAAAACAAATAAATACACTTTTTTAAAAAAAAGAGAGAAAGAAAGAAAAGAGGGGTGGGCTCAACAGCACTGGCCTCCAGGGTGGCCTGGAAACCTCAGGATTTGGCTGGAGGGAAGCTAGGATCCCTTCGGCTTGGGTCCTGAAGGAAAGGCCATGGCACAGGGATGATCTGACCGTACAGGGTTGGAGGTGAGGTTTGTAGGCTGGAGTCATACTGTCAGATTCCTTAAGCAAGAGCTGCAAAGTCTGATCCGTGAAAGCGGGGCTTCAAGGGGAGGCTCAACAGCATTTGAAGTAGACCCTCACTCCCACGTCAAGCCACCCCCCTGGAGGGACATGTGACCCCTTTCCTGTGAGTGAAGCAGGACTGGAATCCTTCTGCACATTTTACACGGATGAAAAGAGGAGAACACAGAAGTTAAGTGACTGGCCCCAGGAGTAGTTTGATTCCCAGTCTGGGCGCATTCCAGCCCCCTCCCAGTCTCAGGTGGGGTAGTGGGCAGATGTGCAGGAGGCTGAGGGGAGGCTTGCTCTCCTGATGACGTGGGGCTGACCGCACGGCAAATTCTCTGAGGGGCTCCCCGGGATCTGCCTAAAGGAAGGGACCATTCGGGGTGGGGTCAGGCCACCCCACCACCACCCGACGTTGTCAGTGGACCTCTTCTCACCTCTGGGCCTGCCCTGCGGGCGACGGGGCGCAGGCGTATGGCGGCTGCCGCTGTCGCAAGAGGAGCTCTGGACTGGACGGTCGGCCGGGTCGGGCGCGGTCCGGGACTGGGCTGGGGCCCTGGAGGGGCTCGCTCGGCGCGGCTGGCGCGACGGCCTCCCGGGACTGGGAAAGGGGCTGGAGCAAAAATGTTTCTTATTCCAGCGTCTTCCTGCCTGGCCCGGCTCCACCACTCCCTCCTAATAAACCGTTTCCTATTGCCCAGCTCGCCGACGGGCCGCCCGCTTGCCCCTCGCTGGGGCTGCAGGACCCAGAGCCTCCCCCGCGCAGCTCCCAGACCCCAGGGGCAGCTGTCCCCTCATCCACCCCCAGCTCGGGGATCGCTGCCCGCGCCCCGCCCGGAGCCTCCCACATCCGCCTCTCCGAGGGGGCGGGCCTTGGACTCCGGCCGCGGGGGTCGCGTGGGGTCTGGCCCAGAGCTGTGGGAACCCAAGCTACAAGGGGAGGCACCGTCTGGAGCTGGGATAGGGGTGGGGTGGGGCGCCCCCTGCCGCTTCGAGCCTCTGAGGGGTAACCTGGCATCCCCGGATGGGAAGGGGGTACCGAGGGAAGGTCATGCGAGAAAGAGTTAGAGAGGGGAAGTTACCTGTCCTTCCCCACCTTCGACCCAGGTCCCCGGCCTAGGAGGCTCACAGCAGCAAGGGCAGAGTTTGGGGCTGTCAGGGTCCGGAAACATTTTGGCCCCGCCCTCAGGGACTCCCAATTCGGTCCAAATCCTTTAGCCTCCTCTCTTCGGGCCCCTTCACCCATTCTTGTCCCCTCCCCTCTTCCGCAGCCTCTATGCTTAGCTCAGGGTAAACAGGCCCAGATGGGGCAGCTCCAGGTAGGTGGTGAAGACGGTCTGAGCCCCTCCAGCCGGCTGGTCACAGAGCAGCCAGTGACAAGGACCCCAGTGAGAAGAACGGCTCTCCCCACCATGGGAGGCCAGGACGGAAGGAGAGGCTGGGGACTTTTTGGACTGAGCCCTTGGAGGCAGGTCTCTCATCGCACCAAATGGAGCTTTAAAGATGGGTGTAGAGCCTCCCTCCGGATCCTGCTCTGACAGAGGTGGACAAGGCATTTGGGAGGGGAGCAGGATGGCTTCTCTCCCAGGGAGAAACAAACTTTTCCTCTGTTGTCCTCACGCAGGCTCAGAGCACTCATATCGTTGTCTTGCTTTGCTCCAGCCACTGTGGGCACTCTGAAGGCAGGACTCCAGTTTTATGCCTAGGCTCCTGGTTATCCATCAAGACTTTGTAGCCTGGGAATCCAGACTAGTTACATAATCCTAGAAAAGTGACACCTCTCCATGCCTCAGTCCCCCATCTGCTAAATGGGCATAATAAACAGTGCTAGCCTCATAGGGTTGGCTGAGCCTGACACAATAAAAGTGTTTAAATTAACAAATGAAAAGGCTGAAGAGAGGGTGGCCTCAGCCAAGTAGAAAGACGTGGGTATTAGAACAATACCCACAAGAACAGACCTCTAAGTTGTCTTGCTCTAATATGGAGATTCTATAAGATTGGCCAGGGACCCCTGCCCTTTGACAGGAATAGAGGCTGGGGGAGACAATGACTAAAGGCTCAGACATGCATCAATTGTTGACTGACTTCACTTCCTTTGCTCAAACCCTCCCCACTCCCTACCCAGCAGCTGCTTCACAACTTGTGAGCATGTGAATTCCAGAATCAAGACACGCCCAAATTTCAGTGTCAGGGCAGAACTATGTTCCGGCAGCCAATAGGAAGTACTATGGGATTACGGTATCTGCTCTTACAGATTATAGCGGCCACTTGGCACTCTATTAGCTGGAGAACTGGGAGTGTGGCCGCGTGTCCATCTTCCATACCCACTCTCTCCTCTGCCCTGCTATGGCTTCAGATAAACCTCTCCTAGCCCCAGCCCATGGATGGCTGTCCTGGGAGGTGGAAGTGTGCAGGCTTCCCCAAAGGAAGCATTCAGTTTGAGACACACATTGAGAACAAAAACATCGAGATGGACAAGAGCTGAGAATCCCCACGAGAGTCAGTGGGGGGTGGGGGCTTTATCTGGGTAGGGTTCCTGAAACAGATAAAAGTAGAATACAATTTGGAGGAGGAAGACAGAGCCCAGTGGGGGACGGGCTGTACATCAATGCTGGAGTCTCCCCCACCTCCCTGGCATTGAGCCTTCTGGACCCCAACTAGTGCTCTTTGGAGATTCTTGCGAACCCCATGCCTTCTACAGCACACAGAGAACCTGGGGAAGGCATCAGAGGAGGGACAGAGCTGGAGAGCCCCGTGGAGACTGAGCCCGATGAGGAAAGGAAAAAGGAATTGCAGGTTGTGTCCAAGTCTACAAGAATTAATTACGCAAAAGGACCAGCTGTTCCCCATAATCAGTGAGGACAGAACAAGAGGAAACAGGCCCAAAGGACTAAGATTTAAATTTAGATATTCAGAAGGATTTCCCAGCAGCGTGAAGCAGAGGCCTGGAGATCCTGGGAAGGTTGTGTGGGTGAAATCTCAAGGAGAGTTCCACCTATGGAGCGCAGGTGGCCTGGAGTCTGGCATGAAGGCAGGGGAATGGACAACTTGTCTTTTCAGAGCCAGCGATAAGTATTGAGTTCCAGCATCACTCTTGCCACCATGGCAGGGCCAGTTTCACGGTCGTTCAAGCCGTATGGACACACATGGCTCCTCCACACAGTTGGTTTAATGCTCTGCTGTTGCCATCTTGAAATTCTTAATAATGTTTTTGTTTTTTGTTGTTGTTTGTTTGTTTTTTTAAAGATTTTTATTGGGGAATTGGGGGGATGGGAACCGTGCTGGGGAATTGGGGGAAGAGGGACAGACAAGTTGCTGTCGTTTTTGTTCCTCAGTCTAGTTGTGGAGGACGTTGCTTCACTGGCCCAAGTTGGCACCATCATTGCGCTCTTCCCGGGTGAGGCACATCAGTCGCCGGCTTCTGGACGGCCGCTCACTGCGGCTGCTGGCCGCTCACGCTGGCTGCTGGCTACACACGGTAGCCCATGGCAACCCACTGCCACAGGGACTGCAGCCCACGCCGTCGCCGGCGACTCACGGCAGCCCAGCTCCAGGTTGAGCTGTTGTTCAGCATCTTAGCTGTAGAGGGCAGTGTCACTGGCCCTCATATGTGGGATCCGAACCGGGGCCCTCTGGCATCCCAAGCGAGTTCTTAACCATCGCACCACTCGGCCGGCCCCTTAATAATGTTTGAACAAAGGTCTCAGCGTTTTCATTTTGTACTGGTCCCCACAAATTATGTAGCCGGTTTGATACCAGGATAAGTAAGAAAAAAATAGGGAGGAAAACTAGCAGAGGGTGAGCTGGGCTTTCCTTCCCTTAAATTGCAGACAGAGAGATTTAGATCAGACATCCTAGGGATTTTTCAAATGTGAGGGACAAAACCAGTAGAACAGGGTACCTGAGGAGGAACTGTGGGTCTCCTTTAGGGAAGAAGTGAGGCAGATACCTGTGAATTCTGTTTCCCATCAATTCAACACAGAAGAGAGAGTCTCAGCTTTGTGGGCTGGGTGCAGTCAAATTTTGCCTGGATGAAGAGGAAGTGACCTCACTAGGTCTCCTGTAGCTCATGGCAGAAGGCACCACGGTGTCCTGGGTTTCAGGCCTGTATCACCTTTCTGGGCCGATGTACACTGAGGGATTTACTCATAGACCGGATATTTCTAAAGGTCCTTCCCAGCCTTATATGATCTTATTTGTTTTTAAAGTTCAGGAAACTACCTGGTCTCAGGCCCTGTCACCACAGCTCAGGTAAAAAGGCAATTTGACTGGTATCAAGGTTTGGGGAGGGTGGGGACAGCCCAGCACCTTAGGAAGAGGCTGGCAGACAGGGGCCAGATTGCCCAAGCCACCAAGTCACCTTCCTCTTCCTCTCCAGCTCCTCCAGGATGTCCCATAGATGGGTTCATCCACTCCTGGTCCACCCCTGAGCCCGAGGATGACTCATCTCAGGATGGAACCTCTTGAGGAAGGGCTGGCATGTCAAGGCAGGAGTCTGAGATTAGCCAGTGCCCACACAATGCCTCAGGGTGGGTTGGCATTCAGCCTGGGCTCCGATGAGAAGCTGCTCCAGGACTGCCTCCTCCCCGGCAGCCCAGTGACCTCGGATAGTCCCTTTCCACAGGCCTCCTCAAGGGTCTGATCTCTTCCACCAAGCTGGCCCCACCAAAAGAAGAAGAGGAGAGGGAGTGGAAAGAGCCCAAGCTTGGAGTTGGAGCTGCTGTGTGTGAGCTTCAGCTCTCATACCTGTAAAAAAAAGCGCTGGTAATTCCTTTTCTGTCAATTCTAAGAATAAAAGCAAAATATCTGTAAGAGTCCTTTCTACCAGTTGAAAAGCCCACACAGATGTCCAATTTGTTTTGAGGGAGGTAGGCCAAGCTGTGGGATAGAAGAAAGCATGAATTGGGAGTCTGGAAAGGGGAGGCTTGGTTGTGTGACAGGGGCCTGCCTCTATCTTCTTACCTGCTCGAAAATGGGTGCTAAATGTTTCCTCTTCTCCTAAGAGCTACCTGTGGGGTTGTTATACAGATGGATGTGTAGCCACTGCACAGGACTTTGAAGTATGAGACAGCCATTCTGGAAAAAAAATTCAAGACATCCCTAATAAGCACGGGGTAAAATAAATAAATAAAATTCTGCAGACGAGTTTCTAAAGAGAGGCAACTGTACCCACCCCCAGGCCTTTTTGCTGAGTCCAATCCCCTTCTCAAAGTTTCAGCTTTCATTTCTCTGACATATACTTTGATACCTGTAAATAATACGTTTACAATGCTATCTCTAGATTTTGTTCAGCTTTGTTGAGGTATAATTGACAAATAAAACTGTAGATAAAGTGTATATCATAATGATTTGATAAACATACACTGTAATAGGATTCCTCTCATCTAGTTAACACACACATCACCTCACATATTTATCTTTTTTTTTTTTTTTGGTGAGAACATTTAAGTTCTACTCCCTTAGCTAATTTTAATTATAATTACAGCCATATTTTACATTAGATCCTCAGACTTTATTCATCTTATAGCTGAAAGTTTGTACACGTTTACCAACCTTTCCCTACTTACCTTACCCCCCCAGTCCCTGGCAACCACATTTTTACTGCTTCTATGAACCTGACCTTTTTTAGATTCCACATATACGGGATACCATGCAGTATTTGCCTTTCTGCTATTTATAGATTTAAAAGCTTCAGAATTTAGGTCATTTAGAGTCTCTCCCTCCTAATTATTGATCATTATGTTATTATTTTATAAATTCAAATAATATCCCTTTAGTTCCTGTTCTATTAGTATAACACAGTATCTCTTGACTCTTCACTAATTAAGGATCGTGGCACCCCTCCCACCCCACCCCCCATCACACACACACACACACACACACACACACTCTCTCTCTCTCTCTCTCTCTCTCTTCCCTAGAGCTGTAATTCTGCTGCAAAAAAAGGAAAACATGTCTATTAGGCAAGGTGATTGATCTTGTTATTGGGGTGTTCAGTTGAAACTCAGGATGGTGGGGATGCCTTGAGGGCCTGGCTGAGCATTTTGAATGGCACAGGAGTTCCTAGAGGCATCGAGATATTTGCCCACTCTGAAAAAAAGCAGGTCCTGCAGGGCAAGGGATAGTAGAAAAGGGAGGAGGGGGGATAGTAGAAGAGGATAAAGG